TTCCTTCCTTCCTTCCTTCCTTCCTTCCTTCCTTCCTTCCTTCCTTCCTCCCTTCCTTCCTTCCATCCTTCCTTCCTTCTCTCCTTTGTGTAATTTATCAACGATTTTAGTACCTAATGTTATGGTTACTATACTGAGTAGGCTACAATGGTAACTAACACAGCTACAGTCCCTGGTCACACTCATAGTTTATAATCTAGCAGGAAACACAGACAATGAAGCAATGTAATAGGTATGCCTGTGATGAGTGTCATGCTATGGGACATACAAAAAGCTTGAAGATTTAACTGAGGGCTCAGGAAGTTCCACCACACACAGTGATATTTCAGCTAAAATATCCAGGAATTAAAGAGGTAAAAGGAAGGAGGAGAAAGGGGAGTGTTCCAGGTAGAGAGAACAGTGTGCACAAAGACTTGTGGGTACCAGTGAGCTGGAGAACGGGACAGGTCGGAGAGGAGTCAAGGAGCAGGAGTGAAGAAAAGAAGGGTAAGAAACGAGGCTAGAGCAGGAGGCAGGGTCTAGCTCTGGCAGTCCTGGAAGCCACTTATGAATTTTGCAGATACTAACTACTGCATACGAAATAGATATACAACATGTTTCTTCTGTATAGCACAGGGAACCAAATTCAATATCTTGTAGTAACCTATTATGAAAAAGAATATGAAAACAAACATACGTTGTGTACATGTATGACTGAAACATTATGTTGTGCACCAGAAACTGACACAACATTATAAACTGACTATACTTCAATTAAAAAAAATTGGAAAAAAAAGTTTGGACCATTTCCTAAAAGCACTGAGAAGCCACTGAAGTAGAGGGGTAATAGGATCAGATTTTCATGTTGGAAAATCGTTCTGGTGAAATGGTCTGGCAGAGAGCAAGCATGAAAGCAAAGGAAAGCCATTTGGAAAGTCCTCTTCAAAGAAGAGGCAGGAGATGATGCCTCTTAGTTTAAACTAAGGAGCAGAGAGAAATGAATGGATTTAAAAGATATTTAGGGGAGGGATAAACTGGGAGTCTGAGATTTGCAGATACTGACTGGTATATATAAAATAGAAAAACAAGTTTATGCTGTATAATACAGGGAAATATATTCAATATCTTGTAGTAGCTTACAGTGAAAAAGAATATGAAAATGAATATATGTATATCCATATATGACTGAAGTATTGTGCTGTATACCAGAAACTGACACAACATTGTAAACTGACTATATATACCTCATTAAAAAAAAAGACAGAGATTTAAGGGAAAGAACTAACAGGACCTGGTGATGGACTGGATGTGGGGATGAGGAGCTAGAGAAATCAAAGTTTCAGTTTTGGGCAACAGGGTGGAAGGTGGTATAACTTACAATACGTATAAAAGGGGAGGAGAAGTATATTTGCTGGGTTGGGGAGGGAAGTCTAGTTTTTCAAAACAGGTGGTTTAATTTTGGACATGTTTACTTCAAAGTGCCTGCTTCCCGTATCTGCTCCTTCCTCTCCCCTTCACTGCCACTGCTCAAGGGCAGTCCCTCATTGTGCGCCAATTCCTAGAAAGGGTCCTATTTGGTCTCTCGCCTCCGGACTTATGACAGGCCAGGCCACAATTTGTTTAGTTATTTTTCTAAAACAGAGAACTCATCAGGTCATTTCCGGCTTCATTTTAAAACCTCTGATGATTCCTTCGAGGAAATGCTAAAAGCATAACCAAGGAAGGAATTTCTGTAAATATCC